GATTCTAGTTTAACTGTCAGGCTTCACTGACTTCCCCATGTTTTTCTTTATTTTTTATTTTTTAATGTTTTTTGGTACCAGAGATTGAACTGGGCGGGGGGGGCACTCCACCATGAGCCACGTCCCCAGCCCTATTTTGTATTTTATTTAAAGACCAGGTCTCACTGTGTTGCTTAAGGCCTTGCTTTTGCTGAGGCTGGCTTTGAACTTGTAATCCTCCTGTCACAGCCTCCCAAGCCGCTGGGATACAGGCGTGCGCCATTATGCCCAGCTTTCCCCCACATTTTCCCAGAATCTAATTATACATACTTTTATTTCTCTATTGCTCTTTCTGTAGAAAAGTTGTTTTCCTAGAATGCTCTACCACTGGGCTATACCGCCAGTGATTTTTATTTTATTTTGAGACAGGGTCTGGCTAAGTTGCCCAGGCTGGCTTTGAACCTCAAGTCCTTCAGTCTTGGCTGGAATTATAGGTCTGCTCAGCAAAATTGAACAACCTTGAGGGCTGAAAATGTAGATTAGTGGCAGAGCAATTGCCTAGTATATGTAAGGCCCTGGAGTCAATCCCCAGTACCACAAAAATAAACAACTTTGAGATGCTGAATTTTTTTAAATATTTATTTTTTAGTTGTAGGTAGACACAATACCTTTATTTTATTTTTATGTGGTGCTGAGGATCGAACCCAATGCCTCACACATGCTAGATGAGCGCTCTACCTCTGAGCCACAACCCCAGCCCCAAGATGTTGAATTTTTTTTAAATTTATTTTTTAGTTTTAGGTGAACATAAAATTTTATTTTTTATGTGGTGCTGAGGATCAAACCCAGTGCCTCATGTGTGCTAGGTGATCGCTCTGCCACTGAGCCACAACCCCAGCTCCGAGATGTTGAATTTTACATTTGTAATACGTATCTCAAAGTTAAGTTCAACAATTTTAAGCCAAAAATTTTTTAAAAATTTTTAGTTGTTGATAGACCTTTATTTTATTTACTTATATGCAGTGCTGAGAATTGAACCCAGGGCCTTACACATGCCAGGCAAGTGTGCTAACTGCTGAGCCTCAGCCCCTTAAATTAAAGTTTTAATTATACAGTTGGAGTTTTGATAAGTATATGTAAGTTGTTCACTCTCCAAAATTATGATACAGAACACTTCCATCACCCCCAAATTTTCCTCCTGTCCGTTTGTATTCAGTACACTCACTCTTTTTTTTTATATTTATTTTTTAGTTTTAGGTGGACACAATATCTTTATTTTACATTTATGTGGTTCTGAGGATCGAACCCAGTGCACCTCAGGCATGCTAGGTGAGCACTCGACCACTGAGCCACAACCCCAGCCCCTAGAACAAGTCCTCTTATGAATTTTTTATAATACCACTGACCTTGTTATAAGATGATGTCTTCCGTATTTAAGAATTTCTAATAATGTACCTTACACATTTTTTTACATGTTTTCATAATATGTATTATTTGCAGAACATAGAAGTATTTTTATTTAATCAAGCAAAACACAAATTTTGACTTCACATTCACATATAACTTTCTCTGACATTTGAAACTCAATAGATTGGTGATCCAGAAGATCTTCAATAATCATTATATGGAACAAACTATATTATTATCTCCAAAGTTTACTCCCCCAAAATTTCTTCTTTTATACTCTAAAACATCTTCATCGTGTTGTTTGATGAGATAGAACCACAGAAAGACGGTGGTACCCAAGGTCAGCCCGACTTTCAGCCTGTCCGGCTGGTCGTTCGGTGGGTCCTGCAGGTAGAACTTTGTGCTGAAGTTAGCATGCAGAAGCCCCTGGTTCAATCCCAAGAACCCTCCTCAAAGTTTGTTGCATATCTGAGTCTGAAGCTCCTTAAGGCCTCCCTGGTTTCCTTCTTTCTGGAGCAAGGAAGAACATTTATTTCTTAGTTTCCTAGCAGGAAACCAGTACTCTCACTCTTATCCAGCTTCTGGAAACAACTGATCTGTGTTTGTTTGGGGGGTTACTAGGGATCAACTCCAGAGGCTCTTAACCTCTGAGCCACAAGTTGCTTAGAGCCTCACTATTTTTGGGGTGGTGGTGGTGGTGGTGGTCATCGTGCTGTGGATTGAACCCAGGGCCTTGTGCATGATAGGCAAGTGGTCTACCATTGAGCTATATCTCCAGCCCTAAGGCTGGCTTTGAACTCAATGATCCTCCTGCTTCAGCCTCCCAAGTAGCTGGGATTACAGGTGTGTGCTACTATGCCTGACTTGATGTGCTTTTTGTCATTATAGTTTTATCTTTTCTAGAATGTCAAATAAATGGAATCATACAGTATGTAAGCCTTTTTTGTCTGGCTTCTTTTACTTAGCATCATGCATATCTGCCTTTGAACCAAAGAAGTGTTCAATGAGTGTATTAAATGTATATTAGCCTACATTTGAGTAAGTTTTTAAAAATTGATTGTATCATACTGACTCAAGAAATGTACTGATGGATTGTAAATTCAGCTTAGATAAATCTTAGCTCTTGAGGTCAAACCTTGATATCATTTGGCATAAAAAAAAGTAAATCAGTTTGAAAGGAGCAAAAGATTAAGGCTAAATCAGAAGTGAAATTCCATTTAATGAACATAGCAAGACTTCAGAATAGCTTGTTAAATTCAAATTATATTTTAATAGTAGCCTATTGCTATAGCAGTCAGTGTCTTAAATCAAGCCATAGTTCTTAGTTATACTGACTTATATTGAAGGAATATTTGGGAATGGGAATTATACAGTAATTATATTTCTTCTTGAAATGGGTGGAAAATCTGTAGGGAAGCAAAATCTAAAAACTGAAATACTTGAGGAAATGTTTTAGATCTCAAGTCTCAGCACCTTTTTTTTTTCTTTCCAAGACTTGTCTCTATTTATGCTTTGTACTCCAAGTTCACACATAGGAGTAAAGAGCGTAATAGTTGTAGTAAAGTGACTGGTTGAATAACTTTAACTCTGACAACTCTCAGAAACAAATATGTGTTGGGTACACCTGTAATCCCAGTGTTTTGGGGGGCTGGGATTTGCAGGAGGATGGCAAATTCAAAGCCAGCCCCAGCAATTTAGCAAGGCCTTAAGTAACTTAGTGAAACCCTGTCTTAAAATTTAAAAAAAAAAAGCTGGGGTTGTGGCTCAATGGTTAAATGCCTCTAGGTTCAATCCCCAGTACAAAAAACCAAACTGTTCAAAAACAAAATACCAAAACCAGAAAAAAAAAGTATGTTGCAAATTAATATATAATATTTGGAGAACTAAAACCATACCTTTATAAAACATTGGTAAGTCTATAAATAGTTTATAGCATTCAAAAATATTAGACTTTACTGTTGTTCTTGTAAAGTATACTCTAAAACTAGTTTTTCTTCAGAACTTGTTTTAATCAGAAACCAGAACCAAAACAAAGGGTACTGAAAGTATACAGTGTCTAGCAAGGCCCTGGGTTCAGTCCCCAGTACTACACATACACACAACAAATAAACAAACAAATAAATAAATAATATAAAATAAATAAAACACAAGTGGAGGGCTGGGAATGTGGTTCAGTGGTAGGAGTTGCTTAGCATATGCCTGCTCTGGGTTCAATTTCTGGTATTACAAAAGAAAAAAACCAAGCCAAGGGAAAGTAGTATGATTTTCTGCCTTATAATTATTCAGGCATACCCACTGTTAACTGTTCTCAAGTTTAGCTAGGAAGTAAGGGCACCCAGGTGCATATCTGTAATCCTAGCCACTTAGAATACTGAGGCAGGAGAATCAGAAGTTTTGAGGCCAACCTCAGCATTTTAACAAGTTCCTAAGCAACTTAGTAAGACCCTGTCTCAAAATTAGAAATTAAAAATTAAAAAATCAAAAGGGTTGTTGCTCACTGGTAAAGTGCCTATGGGTTCAATCCCCAATACCAAAAACTAAAACAACAAAAACAGCTAAAGAGCTGACATCTGATTGTAGAACAATACTTAAGTAGATCAGTCTGTAAAGCTTTATGGTGTGGTGTGTGTGTGTGTGTGTGTGTGTGTGTGTGTAGTGGGGACAGATGGACCAGGGATTGAATTCAGGGGCATGTGACCACTGAGCCACACCCCCAGCCCTATTTTGTATTTTATATAGAGATTGGGTCTCACTGAGTTGCTTGGCACTTTGGTTTTCCTGAGGCTAGCTTTGAACTTGAGAACCTTATGCCTTAGCTTCCTGAGCCCTTGGGATTATAGGCATGCACCACTGCACCGCCCAGCTATGATGGGTTTTATTACTAAAATCAGTCCTCTTTTTTTGGTGGGGGCAGTTCTGGAGGTTGAATCTGGGAGCACTTTACTAGTGAGCTACATCCCCAGTCCTTTTATTTATTTTTCACATTTTTGAGATAGGATCTTGCAGACTTGCTGAGGCTATTCTTGAGATCCTTCAGCCTCAGCCCCCAGCATAGCTGGGATTACAAGTATGTGCCACCATGTCAAACTCAACCCCCTATGTATCTATCTAATCTATCTATTTATTTATTTTGAACCCAGGGGCACTGAACTACCCCCCAGGCCTTTTTATTTTTTTACTTTGAGACAGAATGGCCTCAGATTTTCAGTCTTCCTGCCTCAGTCTTCAGAGTTGCTGTGAATACAGGCATGTAGCTCTTTGCCCAGCTCTTAGTTCTATATTTGCCTACTAAATTCTAAACAAAGCAAAAATGCCGCACTTTACTATTCTATTTTTTCAGTGCTAGGGGTTGAACCCAGGTGTCTAGTATATGCTAGGCAAGCATCCTTACCTCTGAGGTATACCCTCTCACTTTTAAAAGCATACAGTTGCATTTAAGAGTCCAAAGTAACTTCAATTTAAAAGTTCACTATCTAATCCTCATTTGAAGGAATGATCCTTAAGAGCTTCAACAGTAAGTAGGACAGAGAATATTGGTAACAATGAAAATTTAGTCACGATGTAGTTACATTTATGTTGAATACATTTCTTTTCTTTTTCTTTTTTTCCTTAAGGAATTAAATGACCTGGCAAGGGACCCTCCAGCACAGTGTTCTGCAGGTCCTGTTGGAGATGATAGTAAGTATTTAAAAGGAATTATGGAGTAAAACAGCATAACAATGTCTCTGGGGAGCTCTGTATTATACGATCTCTTTTAAAGTTATCTTGTTTTAAGAGATAGTTTGCTAAGGAAAGGAGGGAGTGTATACTTTTAGTTTCCAATGAAAGAAGCCATTCAGTCATTTTCTATTATATTTTGAACCCCCTGTGCTAGGCATTATCTTCGTTGTTCTGGTTTATTCTTCTCCCCTCCTTCATTCCTTCTGTGTATTTTTGTGGGGTAAAATAGTTAATTAATTACATCTAGTTTATTTATTTGTTGGTACCAGGGATGAAACTCAAGAGTGCTTTACCTACCATTGATCTACATCCTTAGTCTTTTTTTGTTTTCTGGTATGGAGAATTGAACCCAGGAACACTTAAAATGCTTGGCCACATCTCCAGCCCTTTTTATTTTTTATTTTGAGAAGAGGGTCTCACCACATTACTTAGGACTTCTCTAAGTGACTGATGCTGACCTTGAATTTGTGATTCTTTCACCTCAGCCTCCCAAGTTGCTGGGATTACAGGTGCTCACCACCTTGCCAGGTTTTCCTAATGTATTTTTTTTTTTAAGAGAGAGTGAGACAGGAGAGAGAGAGAGAGAGAGAGAGAAAGAGAGAGAGAATTTTTAATATTTATTTTTAGTTCTCGGTGGACGCAACATCTTTGTTGGTATGTGGTGCTGAGGATCGAACCCGGGCCGCACGCATGCCAGGCGAGCGCGCTACTGCTTGAGCAACATCCCCAGCCCTCCTAATGTATTTTTAATGTCTAATTTACATGCTTACTACTATCTAAAATAATTTATTAAATGATCTTACCACATAGGTTGAGTAATAATTTCCCTTTTTTTCTAATATGATTCCATGTAGCTTTTCCCCCTGTATCTTCTAATTTTGTTTGAAGGGAGGATATTTGAAGGACTCTGTTTTGTAACACCAGACAAATCCACAAAAAATTGGTAATGTTTATCAATTAAAAAAATGATTGTGATTGTCAGAAACATTTGTATAAGAAAATTATACATTTTTTTAAAAAGAGAAAGACCCTAAGGAACTTAGCACCTAAAAAAACTTGGCTGGGGTTGTGTCTCAGTGGTTGTGCCCTGGATTCTGTCCCTGGTACCAAAATAAAACAGTAACAATAACAAAAAACAAACAAACAAAAAAACCAGAAATGAGTATGAGAATGAGATTATCTTGTCTTCTCTGATGCTAGGGATCAAACCTAGTGCCTCACATATGCTAGGCAAGCGCTCTATTGCTGAACTATTTACCCCAGTTCCTTGATTTTATTAAGAATTTTTTCTGATTTTTTTTTCTTTTTCCTTACTATAAGGAGAATGATGATGATGACAGTGATGATTTTGGTACCAGGAAGTTGCTTAGGGCATCACTAAGTATGAGGATTATTTTAAAGATAAAACTGATATTATAAATTATAAATTATGAGAGGGTATGGGGTTATGACTCAGCTGTAGAGCGCTTGCCTAGCACGCACATGTGAGGCCCTGGGTTCGATCCTCAGGACCACATAAAAATAAAGAAATAAAATAAAGGTATTATGTCCAACTATAAAAATAAAATACTTAAAAAATAAATAAATAAAATAAATTATGAGACTGGGGCTAGGGTTATAGCTTGGTAGAGTGCTTGTCTCACATGTGAGGCATTGGATTCAATCCTCGGGCAGCACATAAAAATAAATAAAAAAGATAAATAAATAAAATAAATTATGAGACTAAGTATGTACATGTGGAAAAATCTGATTTACATTATTAAAGTTTGACCTGTCCAGCATTAATATTTACTGTGTTTAATACCAAGCAGGGCAGACCACACACTTAACAATACAAAATGATTTAAGTACAACTGGCTAGGGAGTAGGTCAGAGATTTTAAAATAGCTTAGAAAAAAGTAATAAGAGCCTCATAGAGATTTCTGAAGTGGATACATTCTTCTCTCTCTCTTTTTTTGTTTTTGTTTTTCTTTTGTTTTGGTACCAGGGATTGAATAGGGCCTTGTTAAATTGCTGAGGCCAACTTTGAACTTTCAATCCTTCTGCCTTAGCCTCCTGAGCCACTGGGATCGTAGGCATGCACCACCATGCCTAGCAGTCATTCTTAGTGTTTTTTATTCCAGTTTTTGCCGTTCTGCCATATCATATGACATACCTACAATGGTGTGCTATTTTTCATTCATTTGAAAAAGTGGCTTAGCCAGGCTCAGTGGCATAAAACCTTATAATCCCAGCTCTCCAGTAGGCTGAGGCAGGAGGATCATAAGTTCTAGGCCAGTCCAAATAACCTAGCCAGATCTTATAAAAAGGGCTGGGGATGTAGCTCATTGATTAAGCACCCCTGGATTTGATCCTGGTACAGAAGGAAAGAAGGAAGGGGTTGGGGAGGAAGAAAGAAAATAAAGGAAGGATGAATGGATTATACATGAATGTGGATTAGATGGGGAATGATGACTTAATTGATAAGGTACAATGTGGAGATTGATACATGGTGATTTTTTTCTTGTTCTTTTTCAGTGTTCCATTGGCAAGCTACAATAATGGGGCCAGTAAGTATTGAGATTAATTTCAGAATAAATAGTTTATGTAATTTATTCCTTTTAATTCCACCTTTTCTTTATCATTAACAGAATGACAGTCCCTATCAGGGTGGAGTATTTTTCTTGACAATTCATTTCCCAACAGATTATCCCTTCAAACCACCTAAGGTAATTGGGATATGATAATTATTTTCAATGTGCTCTGTGTGATACTTTTAAACAAATTTACAAAAATTTTTCTTTTTCTATAGGTTGCATTTACAACAAGAATTTATCATCCAAATATTAACAGTAATGGCAGCATTTGTCTCGATATTCTACGGTCACAGTGGTCTCCAGCACTAACTATTTCAAAAGGTAATGGAATGGATATTTGATACCAAGCTAAACACTTTTTTTTCCCCCCCTTAAGACGATCCAGTTTTGGGCCTGGGGTTGTGGCTCAACGGTAGAGCACTCACCTTGCAGGTGGGAGGCCCTGGGTTCTATCTATAGCACCACATACAAATAAATAAATAAAACAAAAGTATTGTGTCCAACTACAATTAAAAAATAAATTTTTTAAAAAAAGATTATCTATTTTTGAAGAGATTACTCATTCTTTTTTGGCGGGATGTGGTAACCAGGAATTGAACTCAGGGGTCACATTCCTAGCCCTATCTTGTATTTTATTTAGAGACAGGTCTCACTGAGTTCCTTAGGACCTCGCTAAGTTGCTGAGTCTGACTTTGAACTCATGAACCTCCTGCCTCCACCTCCTAAACTGCTGGGATTATAGGCATGGGATACCATGCCCAGCTCATATTCCTTTTAAAAGGAACAATCTCCCTTAGTCTGAAATAGACATCATGACAATGGGAAAGGGTTGGGGCTTTGAGCCTAAAAATTCCTTGGTATGGTAACTAGTCTGTTGATTATGTTATTTTGGATTAGGTTGGCTGAGCATAGTAGTGTATGCCTATAATCTAAACAAATTGAGAGACTAAAACAGGAGGAATGCAAGTTCAAGGCCAGCTTCAACAATTTATAAAGGACCTAAGCAATCTCACGAGACCTGCTCAAAATAAAAAAAGGGCTGAAGATATAGCTCAGTGGTAAATTGCCCTTGTGTTCAATCCCGAGTGTCCCACCCCCAATAAAAAAGGAAAAAACAAATAGCTCTTTAGAAGATAGCATTACTTGTGCTATAAATACAGTACACAGACATTAGATGGGGGTGGAGGGGGGCCATGTTGGTTCTGGGGATTGAACCCAGGGGCACTTAACCACATCCCCAGCCCTTTTTAAATATTTTTATTTAGAGACAGGGTCTCACTGAGTTACTTAGAGCCTTGCTAAATAGCTGAGGCTGGCTTTGAACCTGTGATCCTCCTGCGTCAGCCTCCTGAGCCACTGGGATTACAGGCATGCACTGTTGCGCCCAGCTGGATACTAGATTTTTGAAGAGCCAGATGTAGGTAAATTGGTGTAGAGACTGTTTCACCCAATGTTATTTTTAGGAACAGATTCATCCTCTTAAGATGATCAGTTTAGCATAAATATTTTTGGACTGTAGGTGTCATTTAGTAGTAGAGTGATTACCTAACATGCACAAGGGTCTGGGTTTGATCCTCCAGCACTGCCTTCCCCCTGTCAATTTTTTTTCCCCTCTGAACATCCCAGTGATGATTAGTATAGCTCTATGTGTGTTTGAAAATATGTTTTTTAAAAAAAGTTAATTGCTAAATTTGTAATGAAAGACCAGTAGTTCTACTAAATCATTACATGAGTAAATTAAGGATTTTTTTTTTTTTTTGGTACTAATGAATTGGTGAGATAGTTAATGAGAATTGTCTTAAATGTTAATTTGAAAATTTGCATCCCCCCAATATTATCCCTAAATGAAATTAAAAGTGGATTAAAAACTAAACTATAGCCAGGCGTGGCAGTGTATGCCTATAATCCTAGTGACTCTGGAGGCTGAGGTAGGAGTTTAAAGCCAGCCTCAACGAAATCGAGGCACTAAGCAATTCATTGAGACCTGGTCTCTAAATAAAATACAAACTAGGGCTGGGGATGTCTCTCAGTGGTAACGTGCCCTTGAGTTCAATCTTAGTACCCCTGCACCATCTCCCCGAAAAAAAAATAAATAAAGGGAAGATTTGTCAGATCTGAACTTTCTTTTTGGCGAGAAGCTATTACAGATTGAACCCAGGAGTGCTTAACCACTGAGCTACATCACCAGGCTTTTTATTTTTAATTTTGAGATAAGGTCTTGCTAGATTGTTTAGGGCTGGGTTGCTGAGGCTAGCTTTGAAATTGCAGTCTTCCTGCCTTGGCCTCCTGAGTCACTGGGATAACAGGCGAATGTGCACCCGGCCCTAGATCTCAATTATCTAATATGAAAAGTATTGAAAAAAAGAAAATGAAAGAGTTAAAAGAAAAAAGAAAAGAAAATCAAATGGGTTAATGTTTAAAATGTGAAGAACTTAATAAGGAAAAAAATATCTCACCATGTGCAATGGCACACAGCTGTATGTAATTCTAGCAGTTTGGGATGTTGAGGTAGAAAGATTGAAAGCCTAGTCTAGGCAACTCAGTGAGACTCTTGTCTCAAAATAAAAAATAAAAAGGGCTGGGATTATAGTTCAGTGTTAAGGGCCTCTGGATTCAATCTCCAGTACCAGAAAAAATAAAATTTACCATTTCTTTAGTGAATTTGTCTTCTGTAGAGTGCCCCTGGATTCAACCCTCAGCACTGCAAAAACAGACAAACCAACCCAATCAAACCCAAACAACCCCAGTCCCAATAGACAAATGCACAAAAAAGAACCAAAGACTAAGGAAACTTAAAAAAAAAAATTTTTTTTTTAGTTTTAGATAGATATAATACCTTTATTTTTATGTGCTGCTGAGGATCAAACCAAGTGCCTCACATGTGCTAGGCAAGTGCTCTGCCATTGAGTCATATAACCCCAGCCCAACTTAAAATTTTTAAGTTCCCATTTTTTTCGTTTACATATGCTAAGCCAACCTCTACCACTGAGATACATCCTGAGCCCGCTCTTCACCAGTAAACCATTTCACCATCATCTTCCCTCTCTTTTAGTGATAATGAGGATTAAACCCAGGGACACTTTACCACTGAGCTTCATTCCTTATTTAGAGACAGGTCTCACTAAGTTGGGAAGCTGGACTTGAACTTAGAATCTTCCTGAAATTTTAAATAGGGGCTGAGGATGTAGCTCAGTGACACAGGGTCCCTAGGTTAAATTCCAGTAACCCCTCCTCACACACACAGACTAAATGTTGATGATGTACATTATAATGAGTACTATATACAGTAGAAGGGTAGATTGTACACTGTTACATGTTAAGAGACTTTCATTCCCCTGATCCAGTAATTACAACAATAGCAAATGCTTAAAAAAGCTTTGTATTGAAGTACATTTGTGACAGTGATGTGGTTTTGTTTTGTTTGTTTTGGTACCTGGGATTGAACCCAGGGGTGTTTAACCACTGAGCCACATCCCCCTCCCCCCCTCCCCCCCATTGTTTTTGTATTTTATTTAGAGACAGGGTCTCACTGAGTTGATGAGGGACTTGCCAAATTGCTGAGACTGGCTTTGAACTTGCCATCCTCCTGCCTCAGCCTCCCAAGCCTCTGGGATTTCAGTTGTCTGCCATGGTACCTGACTGACAGCAGTGTTATTTCTGAAAATTGGAGATTATATACAGATGCAGTAGTAGAGGAAGAAATAAAATAAGTTCTAGCACATACATTTAAGAGTACTGATCAATTATAGCCTGGTATGCTGGTGCACATCTGTAATCCCAGCTACTTGGGTGGCTGATGCAGGAAGTTCACAAGTTCGATGCCAGCTTGGGCAACATAAAAAGTCCCTATCTAAAAAACAAAATGAAAGGCTGGGTTTGTAACTTTTAAATAGAGGTTGAGTGCTTTCCTTCCATATGAGAGGCACTGGGTTCAATTCCTAGTGCTGCAAAAAAAAAAGCCTTTAAAAAGTTATGACACTAGCCAGGCAGTGGTGTGTGCCTGTAATCCCAGCATCTTTGGAGGCTTAGGCAGAAGGATCACAAATTCAAGGCCAGTCTTAGCAACTTAGTTGAAACCCTGTCTCAAAATAGACTAGGAAAAGATAAATAAATACTGGGAGTGTAGCTTAGAGGTAGAACACTATTGGTACTCAATCCTTAGTATGCCCCTGCAAAAAAGTATGGCACTTAAAGTCATTAGGAGAATGATTGCCTAACATGCACACAGTTCTGGGTTTGATTCCCATCAACCCCTCTCTGAAAATACATAAAATTATTGAAATGGAAAAATACTGTATGGAAAAAAGCAGAAAAGGGCCAGGCACAGTGGCTCAGGAGGCTGAGACAGGAGGATCCGCCAAGTTCAAAGTCAGCTTCAGCAAAAAGCAAGGCTCTAAATGACTCAGTTAAGACCCTATCTCTAAATAAAGTACAAAAATAGGGCTGAGGATGTGGCTTATTGGTTGAGAACCCCTGAGTTGAATTCCCAGTATCCCTCCTATTTAATATAACTCAAAGTATACAAAAAAATTTGTATACTTTGAGTTATATTAAAAAGTTTTAAGGGCTGGGGTTGTAGCTCAGTGACAGAGCACTTGCCTCGCACATGCTAGGGTTCAATCCTTAGCACCATATACAAATTAAATAAAGGCTTTCTGTCCATCTACAACTATAAAAATTTTTTTATAAAGTTTTAAATAGTTAGAAATAAGACAGTCCAAGTTTTTGCATTTGGTAGTAAAATTTGATATATGAAGTTTTTTTTTTTTTCTGTCTACTTAAAATTACCATTTCTGCAGGGCACAGTGGAGCATTCCTGTTCCTGCTATGTGGTTGAGTCAGAGGAGTGAAAGTTTGAGACGAGCCTGGGCAGTTTATCAAGACCTTGTATCAGTCAGTGGTAGAGGGGCCAGTACCAGAAAAAACTGAAATTTACTCTTTCTTCCTCCCCTCCCCTCCCCTCCCCTCCCCTCTCTCTAC